ATCATCTCCATTTTATAGCGGATGAAACTGAGTAACAGAAAGGTTAATTAAGTATCTTGCCTAAAGTCACACCAATCAATGAAAGTTGGGGCAATAATCCAACCTCCAAAGCCCATGGGCACCATGCTTTTCTCACTATACCAAACTACTAGCAGCAGGAAAACCCACATTCTAGGGCAAAAATAAGTTCTACAGAAATTTATGCAGCTGTATAAAGCAAGGAAAATAACTGTGTTAAGGGCAATGAAAAGGTACAGGGGATAGAGAGATCTATTCACCGTTACACTAATTGCTTAAACTCTTTTCATGAATAGAGAATATTTGATTGTCTCCAGTTTACTTCCTTATGGGAAAAAGGCTTCAGAAAAAAGAAATACAGACTTCAAGTACTTCAAAAAAGGAAGGTACACTGACAGGAGTGGATACTTGCTCCAAGTTAAATTTCATGGATAAGAAGAGATTAAAAAAAAAATCCATTTAAATGATGGATAATTTTATCAAACTGGAGAATAAAATGTTTAAATGAAGTAATTCTACTTAAGTATCCTTCTACTTGAGTATTCTAAATTCTATCACTTCATCAACAAATGGAAAAATTAATATTGCAATAATAAGGCATTTTTAGGCACTGAAGGCACCAGGCACATACAGATGTCTTTTTCCCTCAAATGGCTGAATTTAAAATGGAATTCCACATTATACATATATAGCCTGGATAATCTAGTTTCAATCTTCATCTAAATACTTGAACAATTATAACTAGGCATTCAAGATTATAATCAGTTCATATAAAAAAATAGGGCCATCAAAGCTTATAAAAAGTAATTTTTTTAAAAAATGACCTGTAATTTCTACAGTGAATAAACTCCCTCCACCAATGATGCATCTTTAATTTATATGGTAATGAGTTTCTTGGACACAAAGTGAGGTTAAATATTTGCCTACAGTATGGATTAGAGGTAAAATTTGAACCTGGGTTGACCCATTTCCAAGGCTGACCAGAGACTCCATCCACTACAAAACACATAATTTTTAAACTTACCTATTGAACAAAGGGTAAGCATTACCCTTTTAATAGTGTAATAATTAAGCAGGTAAATTTTACATGGCATATGAACACACTAATTTTACGTCACTAGTTAAGGGAATGAAGATAGCAAGTCAGAGATAAAAATGTTGAGTTTCAGATGAGAATAGCCTCAAAATAAAGGATAAAAAGCTAAATATAGCTTAGAAATTCTTCATAAAATCTGTTTCACTAACAAATGACACAAGGAACTGGAAAATTAGGGACTAAAGTACACTTTAACTTAGACCTCTTAAGTTTTAAACATGTCCTAATTTTGTATGTAAAGGCAGAGATTCATTCAGATCTTTAATGGGAGTACATAAAGTGCATCCTTCAAAAGCATATTTTTTTAATATTTTAGTTTAAAATTGATCTCCAATAGTAATTTAATGATAAAATGCTTTAAGTTTCCATGTAGTGTCATTACACTTTCAGTTAAGATGTCGCTATAACTAGACAAGTAAAATTTGGTTACCACACTAGTTTCTATTTGGCGAAAAATACCTGAACTGAAAAATATATTGATTGACTGAATACTTTTTAATTGAGTACATTCAATTGTGGATGGTAGTGGTGCTTGGTACATATTATTGTAGAGGGTTGGGCAGATGTATTTTCAGGGACTATTAAAATGAGAAATCTTTCACTTTCCCTTAATAGCTTTAATTCTATAATATTTACCTGTAGATTATGCCAATGATCAACACCAAAAAAGGTGTTTTGCTTGTTTACTTGTTTTACTAAAAGATTTTCCAACAAGGCAAAAGGAGTAGTGGTAAAAAAACTTTCCAGCAGTTTTTTGGTTCAAACCACACATTCAGATATAGCACATTTTCGCTTTAATATATATGTGCATATATACAAGCACTGGCTTTGTTATCCAAAAACATGTTAGAATTCTGATATCATCACCTACTGCCTTATGACCACAGGCAGCTCATTTTGGGGTCGGTGTTGCTCATCTGTAAAATAAGCTTGGAAAAAAGATTATTCCAAAGATCTCTTCTAAGCTCAAAATTCTATTCGTATATCCAGTTTAAGAGAAAATTAAAATGGGGCAGCTAGGTGGCACAGTGAATAGAGCGCTGGCCCTGAAGTCAGGAGGCCCCGAGTTCAAATTTGGCCTCAGAGAACACTTATTAGCTGTGTGACCCTGGGCAAGTCACTTTACCCCACTGCCTAGCCCCCCCCCCAAAAAAAGAGAGAAAAGTAGAACCACAGAAGTTTGACAGATACATAGGAATGGGAAAATATTTCATAATGCACTTTACCATCTAAGATCTCTCAGCTTATTATTTTCCCATACTTTATCTAGTTAAGACTGTTTATAATACACCCCCCTAATTTAAGGTTTGCTAGAGTTCCAGGAATCTTAGAATTTCTCCGTAGTTGACAAAAGTTCCCTCAAAATTTCCATGGACCCATTTGACTTCAGGCATAACAAAGGTACCTGGATAAAAAGGAAACCTAGAAACTTTACTTGTCTAGTCTTAAGTATTTAAATCAAAATTTAAATCTACCTGAACCTTTTGAGGTTATTTTATTTAGTTCATTACTCCCTCAAATTGATAATTATGTAAGCTTTCATTTGAGATATTTTTTCAGCTACTTGAATATAAATGTCTTAATTTCTTCCTGTACCAGTATAGCACTTAAAAGCATTTACATAAACTTCTCAAATCCAAGTTTAGTTCAAAACCCTAGGATTCATTTCATCAACAGTGAGACACCCTCCATAACTTAGATGGGTATTATAAAGCCTTATCCAGTTTGTCTTCTTGAGTTGATGTGGCACAAAAAAATTCACCATTTAGCAGCCAATTTTTTAGTGATGACTCCCTGAACTTAAGGATGGCTTTCAGAAATTGGAAATACAGTCCCATCACTTGACTAGTAATCAAAAGCCTTTCAAAGCTTGATAGGACCTGCCACAGCTTATGATCAAACTGGCATTACCACTGAGGCCAAGCTGACCTTGACATCATGATGAAGCAGCTTGAGTATGAGCACTTTAGTGCTCTAAATTCATACTTATTCTTCAAAATACGACTAGAGCTGTAGTCATCCTCTCTCCATATCTCCACAAAACTCAGACATGCCAAAACTGGAAACACCTCAAGAGCTCTTGCCCTATCCCAGCTATGTCATATACAGCAGGACCATCATACTGCAAAAACTTTTATCAAGTTTTGAGTTTAAATGCTAGTGTGTTCCAATCAAAAGTTTCTATCTGGAAACACAAAGACAGAAAATGAACAAGTCCCTCCATACCATTAGTCTATTTCTTACATATAAGAAACTTAATATTTAAATAACTTATTGATTTGAATTGATGAAATGTGATAAATAGGAGATCTCATAGTTTTTCATAAACTAACAACTTTAAAACCTGTAACAGGGGCCAATATATTCAAATCAGATGAATTTTGAGTCCGTGAAAGAGCATGTTACTTACATACTACCATATAAGAAAGCAAAAAAGAAAATCATTACCCTTTCACAGCACCAATGACAAACTCACAAACTCCCTGGCCAAAGAGGGGTTATTAACTGAAGAGAGCTAGCAGAAAGTGAACTGGGAAGTTGGGGATGGGGAACAGAGAAGAGACTAGATGAGAACAGATATTAAAAAAAAACAGATACAAGAGGACAACACTAATGCAGCTAGGTAAAGAACGGATTTTGAAATAGTACATGACATTAAAGGCTATGTTCTCAAAATTCATTTTGATGTTGATCTTTTCAATAATTAGCATAGAAGCCTTGTAAGAAATGCATATCACTTTTCCCTATGGAGATACTAAAAACTATACTTATCTCAACCGAATTCAGGTATGCTCCTTCTTCTAGAGTAAATTTAGTTTGTAAGAAGCAAAGTGGGAGAGAACAGTCCTACTAACTGGCAGTCATGGTTCATAGGAGCTGAATGGAGCAAAGGCAGATATTTAACTCTAACAGATCCCTGTGGTAGGAGTGGAATGCACTTCTAGGTAACAACTGAACCTCTTGGGTCTTAGGCAGATCTTTTATTTCTCAGGCCAGTAGTCTCATGGAATGTTTTAATGGAGCAACTTGATTACTCCATATCGAACCATCACGCTGATTAGAGAATGGTGTTGCCAGGCTCCAAAAGAGGTCTTGTCTGATCCTCAAATTGATGAGCAGCAGCTGTAATACAGGGACTTAGGGGTTAAGGGTTCTTCCATAGCTTCTAGAGAAACCCAAGGGGTTGAATGTTTAAAAAAAAAAAAGAGCTCTTAGGAAAGAGCAAAAGCCTTTTGACCTCTGGACCTAACATTTTATTTTAGTTCATTAAAACCAGTAGAAGCCAATTCTGGCTCCTTCAAAAAGAAGTTTAGAAATTCTAATGTACTCAGGAGGTTGAGATGTCTGCACTTAGAGGGAAGTGTACTTTTCTTACCCTTCAGACAAGTAACATACATGGAATGGATAAGCACTGGTGCAGGAGAGATCCCATTCCCTATCTTTTTTTTTTCTTTTATTGACTAACAGAATGAAGAAAGCCACTAAGCACTTAATAATGCCTGTGCCTCAAAGTCAGCGCAACAGTTGTACACATGATTGCAGTGGAGCACTACAGTAAGCAGGTGACATTAGGACGTAACACAGATTTTCCTTCTCTTAATGACAAGTTAATTTCAATATTCTTAAACTGTATTAGGGTAGTAAAATGTCAGCTTATTAAATAAAGAACTGAAGTTCAGAAAACAAATGCTTTGTCAAGAACATGAGGGGACAAAACTATTCTTAGGGTGCCCCTAATATGTGCATGTTTCCCTCCCCCCCAGTCAAATCTGCTTTGAGAGTAGGTACATTTAAAATGTTATATTATGAAAAGGTTTTGAACTGGAACTGTTTCTTCAGAAAAAAGGAAAATGAACTAGTTTCCCCACTTTAATATTCAACCTACCTGCCCATAGTTGTCTATGCCAGTTACTAATCTATTTAAATTTAATAAATCAAAAGCTGTCCTTAGGGATTGGCCAAGTGTCGTAAGTCCTTCAGCTTGAAGGTTTTTCAGTTCATTCATAAACGTGGCGTGGTTTTCTTTCCATCCAGCCTGAAAAGAGAAACGCAGAATTGTTTATTTTTCAACTATTAAAGGCACGCAGGTACACACGGACAGCCCTCAGTGGGTTGCTCCAGACAGCTGCTCTGCTTTACGCCTCGGTTTCAGTCGTTCACCGAGCACACCAGTGGGCAAAACCCAACAACATCCTCCCCACCGCCCCAGGCCTCTGCCTGGAGTCCGGAGGAATGCCTCGATCCCAGGAAAGACTGGACCGAGCCCCCGGGGCATTCATTTGGGGCGCAGCGGCTTCCCGGGGCTCTCTCTTGGAAAGCCCAAAGCACTCCCCGCTTTCTCCCCCAAAGCTTCCAAAGACAGAGGGGGACTACACTGGGCTCCTGGGCAGCGCCCCGCCGCCCTCGACGGGGATCGGAGCGGCCACGCAGGTTCCTACGAGCAGCTCGAGCCCCGATTTCCCTTTAATGCAAAACTTGAGGTCGAGTTTCTGCCGCCGCCGCCGCCGCTGTCACTTCTCTAACTTGAATAAATATCCCCCACAGTGCCTTGCTGCCGCTGCCGCTGCTGCTCACACCACACAGGGGAAATGTCGGCCATGTTGATAGCAGCGCCGCCGCCGCCGCGGGCTGCCCGATCCGGGCGGCGTGCAGGAGGTCGCGGCCGCGGCCGCTCCTCTTCTCTCGGCCCCAGAAGAATCGAGGGCCGGGGGGGGGGAAGGACGGGGGCCGAGAGACGGGAAGAGAAAACGACGGGGGAAAAGGGCCCGAAGCCACGGCGGATGGGGGAGGGGAGCATAATGAAGGGTGAATGGGGAGGGGGGAAGGGGAGCAGGGCGAGAGAGGAAGGAATAAGGAAGGGAAGGCAAAGCAAGGCTCAGGCAAGAGAGCGAAGGAGAGAGGGAGGGAGGCAGGGAGGGCGGGGGCTATTACCTTGATAGCATAGGGAGGCTCTTCGAAAGTGACCAGCATATACCTGTCTCCTCTGCTGGCTGGATCCCGGGCACGGAGCTGCGAGGAAGTGGGAGAAGGGGGGGAAGAGAGAGAGAGAAAACAGGGCGGGCAGGGGGAAGGAAGCACACAGCCTGGGTTACGAGGCATCATAGCAGGCAAACCGAGCACCTCAGTTCCCCACCGTACAGCACACACGCAGGGTCCACCCCGTCCCCCCCAACCCTCCGGCTCCCGTCTGTGCCCGGAGCCCCCCGCCCGACCCCGGATCCTCAGCGCCCGCCCGCTCGCCCGCGGGGGTGGCGGGGGGGGGTCCCCACGCCTGGCTGTTCCCGCAGCCGGGTATCCCCCACATCCTCGCCACCCCCCCCACCCCTTCCTCGTCCGCTCCCCGGGTCCGCCCCGGCCGTGTTTGCCACCGGGCTCGGTCAGTCGGTACCTTCATGAAGGTCTCTACCGCGCCTTTGGCCGTGTCCAGGTAGGTGGTGCCCAGATGGCTGCGCTGGTTCATAGAGGCGGACGTGTCTATCAGGAACAGTAAGATGGGCATAGTGCTGGCCGGGGACACCGGGGCCCGAGGTGGTGGAGGAACAGGAGGAGGAGATGGTGGTGGTGGTGAAGCTGGTGGAGGAGGTGGAGGCGGCGGCAGCGGCGGCCGCCGCTACGTGGGGCGGGGGAGCGCGGCCCCCGGGAGGAAAACACGGTCGGGGTCTCTCCTCCGGCTGAGGGGAGTTTCTCCCCTTGATAGTTGAGAGGAAACTCCCCTCGCCCCTGGCCGCCCCTCCAGACCCCCACCTCCTTCTGCCTGCCTGCCCGCTGGGCCGGGCGCCCGGCCGTCTGTCTGTCCGCCTGCCTGCCCGTCAATCCGTCCGTCCACCCGCCTCGGGGGTCCCGTCCCCGCTCCCGGCCCCTGTGTGTGTCCCAGCGGGAGACGGGCCTGGCTCCCCACCCCACCCCCGGCGCAGGGAGTGGGGACTCGGGAGCTGGCGAAGAGGGGGTTGGGCTGAGGGGGGGAAATTGGCCCTGGGGCTGTTGGGAGAAGTTTCAGGGACTCCCCCCGCTCCCCGGCGGTGTCACCACTTTCTCGGCCCCTCTCGCTACTGAAGCGCTTTTCTCTCTCACACTCCGGTTTTAACTCGGGCAGGGGCTGCTTGGGCTCCGCCCCCCTGACACGTCCCCGTGCCATGTGACATGCCGCCCCGCTCTTCTATAGGCTATAGACTGTTCCCTCATTAGAATATTCAAACATCAGAGGGGTGGGGGAAGTGGGACGGTCGGCTCGGGGGACAGTTATTGAGCACGCGCGGAGGCGAGGCGCCCGGGTGCGCGCGAGAGCTAGCGAGAGAGCAAGCGGGCTGGTGGGCAGGCGCGGAGGCGGGCTTCGGGCGGGCTCCGGGAAGGGGCGGAAAGGGGCGGAAAGGGGAGGCCGGGTGGGGGAGGGGAGGCGCGCTGGGGCTGGCCAGGGCTGTGAGCCTGCGCGGCAGGGCCTAGTGGCCTCTCTCCTTGGCTGTTGGAGGTGATGGGGGTCGGGGGAAAATGGAGGCTGGGCTGAGCCTCCCTCGCGCCCTCCCCCCTCTCTGAGGTGACTGAGAGCAGCCCGGGGCCTGGGAGGCGGGGGACGAAGGGGGAGCGGAGCGGGGCAGCACAGAGGCAAGGGGGGGCAGGGCCGCTGCCGCTGTCGCGGGAGGAGTCAGGCTCCCCAGGGCCGGGCCCCAGCGGCAGGCGGATCCCGGGCCTGGGGGAGGGGATCGCGGGGCTTGTTTGTGACCAGCCATCAGTCTCCGCCCCGAGCCCTGCTCTTTCTCTTCAGGCGCCCCGTGCCCGTCGAGGGGGCCAGACACCCGGATGGAACCGGGGGCTCCGGTCTGGCGTCGGGGAGCTCGCCCGGGCGAGGTGGGGCCAGGCCCCGTCGGGAAGGTTTTCGGGGGCTGACCCTCGTAGATTCGCCCTATTGTGTGTGGCAGACATCCCTGTGGGCAATGGTGCAAAGCCTACCTCCCCTGTTCCTCCACACCCAGAGGGCGGAGGGTAGGTAAGGGGAGCTCTTAATGGCCGAACTGGATTTCGTACATACCAGCTTGGTGGGTGCCTTGTTTACCTGTTGGGGGAGAGGCTCACCAGCCTACCTCGGGCTCCCACCTTCCAAGAACAGTAGTGGACAAACTTGCCCCAAATACTGTAAGGGAGAGCCACCTGGCCAAAGGGGTCCCGTTTCTCGTCCTCCAGGTAGTAACGGCCTGCCCCAAGTCTCACCGAAGAAAAACCCTTCACCAAAGTCCCTCGTACGGAAATCTAACCTTTCAGTGGTGACATGTTAAAACTTTAAAGGGGATATTTTGTATGTACTACAACTCAAAAATTCTTGCTATCGAGAAACAGCAAAGAAAATTTTCCCAACAGTATCACAGAGTTAAATCAAAATTTCCACCTATTCTTTGTGGCACCTCTTTTTTTTAAATAGAAGCTTTAGTACTTAAACTTCTTTTTCTAATCTAAGATTTGGCCCTCAACTATTTTGTTAAATTAAAATGGAGCTCCTTAACCATTTGTCAAGCATCTGTATGTGTACTGCACCATTCTGATTGTGAACTGTACAAAGATGAAATAAAAATTAGACTTTCCCTGAATGACTTTAGAATCTGGTGGAGAAGATGATACTATATAAATAACTATAATACAAATGAAAGTGACTGTTAGTACAAAGGAGAGGTGCAGTCTGTGAGACCATTTCTCCAGGGGTATATCTGGGAAAGTTTCATGGCAGAAGTGGTTCCTGAGTCTTGAAGGATTTCAGCGATGGGCCTAAGGGATAGAATTAGTCTCAGACATGAGATAGGATATGGGCAAAAGCACATAGTTATGAAAGTATTGAATGAGATTAGGGAATGGCAAGAAATTCAATTTTGTTGGAATAATAATAGCTCATTTATATAGTTTGAGATTTACAAGGCACTTTCTTCACAGCCTGGTGCAGAATGTAGGCCATGTGGAGAGCATTCTGAGAAATGACTGAAAATTATATGTAGGTGATAAGGGCCTTCTCATTGTGAATTTACATTGTGATATGCTGTAGCTATATTATGAGCATAAAATCCAGAATCCAAATTCTACAGTTTAGAATCATAGAAGCCATTTATCTTGATGTTTCCCCATCCTCAAAAGATGTCTGTCCCTCTTACTACAGTGTTAAGAGCCACAGAAGTGGAGATATTTTTTTAAAAAACAGACAAAAAATGTCAATACATTGGTAAAGGAGGTCAGAGTGAACAAGGTGAGATATGCTGGTTCAAAAACCAGACATCGGTATAAAGAGCAGCCCAGGCAAAAATTGTTTTCAGTGCTCTCTCCTATTTCAGAATCACTTTCCTTCCTCTTGCTCATTCAGTGTGCCAAGCCTATTTTGACCTATCCTTTATCCCATTCTTAATCTCAGCCTTGTGTCAATGAACCCTTTCTAGTAATACCTTAAGGAGTGATGGGGGGTGGGGAAGAGAAGCTTATGACAAGAGGGCATATACATCTATACATCTTAAAAGGTTCAGATTTGGAAAAATTTTAGAACCAGTTGTATGAGACTATAATACTGGAATGACAAACAGTGGGGTTGATATTTGGGAATATATCTACTTCCTTTCCTGGTCACTGTGACAGTTTTAGAGAAAAGCCAAGTAGTAGAATCTGAAATAAGAGCCCGCCTCCTAAAACTGGTAAAAGCTAGTTAAAACTCATGGATCATAAGGGAGTAAATTAATGGCAACTTGGCATAGTACTTCTGTAAGAACCTGCTGATCCCTGGTTTAAATGGTGTTCTCAGTGATGGAGATAAAGTTAACTAGAGCTATGATCTAATGAGTTAGACTTATCTGCAAGGGCCAACAAGAGCCATTATAATTTACCAGAAATCAATCAAGTAATGAATTGGGATATACATAGGGGATAAGAGCTGGGTTCAAGGCATTTGGACATGACATCAGAATCATAGAACCTAAAAGTTGAAAGGGACCCCAGGCCATTTAATTCAATTCATACCTGATTAAGAAACCTTTTCTACAGAATTCTCAGCCAGTAGTCTTGTAACTTTTGCTTGAAAACCAGTGGGAGAGAACTAACTACCTCCTAACGTAATCTGTTCTTTCAGATACCTCTAATTGCTAAGAAGATTTTCCTTAAAGGGACCCAAAAACTGCCTTATGAAATTCTCATTGGGCCTAGTTCATCCCTCTGAGCAAAGAGCAAGTCTGATCCTTTTTAATTTAAAAAAAATTCTGATCTTAACAAAAAAAAATTTCCATACGCAGCAGAACACAAAAAGGGGGATTTATATGAAACTATGAATCTTCTTGCTTTTTTTAAAAAGTGTATAATAAATTTAAAATTTTCAAAACTTCCTTATCTCTGCTTCTGAACTTCTTTCTGTTCTCTACATTTAAAAAAATATATTACAAAGGCCTTTTTTTTGGCATCCCTATTGCTAAACCTCTATCCCCATGAGTTTCCTGCCACCACACCAGAAATAAAAGGGGAAAGAAAAAAAACCAATAAACATGGTCAAGCAAAACAAGGCTATGCAATGTCCATTAAAAAAAAAAGTCTGTAGTTTTGAATCCTTTACCTGCTGGCAAGTCGGTAACATCATAGGTCTGGAGACATGCCTATTCATTGCATTGAACAGAGTTCTTAAGTCCTTCAAAGTTGTATTCCTTTGTAGTGTCCTTGCTTAAATTGTTCTCCTGGTTCTTCTCCCTTTACTCTGCACCCAGGAATCTGAAGCTATTACTTATGTAATTTCTTATAGAACAATAATAGTCTGTTAAATTCATATACCACAATTTGTTCAGCCATTCCCTAATTGTGTAAAGGAAATCTAAAGCAGAGGTGTCATACTTGTGGCCTCTGGACTATAAGTGGCTGCAAAACTCCCAAGCTGCCTGAACCAGATTAAAATGTAATTGGGAAATGCTTAGCAAAATAAAAGTATAATACAACAGAGATAATATTAATTTGTGGGGGGGTTTTGAGTCAGTATGTGGCCAGCGGGGAACGCTTTCTATTTTAGTTCTGCACTACTGATCCAAGGCACCTTCTAGAGTCTAGTTCTTTGCTTCCCTTTTTGGTCTCTCTCATGCATCAGGAGTTTATTTTACTTTTGACTATTCCTTCCCTAGCATTTAACCTTCACCTGAACACTCTTTCTCTGTTGTTTCTGGTTGAGTTTAATGATGTCTGCACCAAGCCTTGTGAGTGTTTATTCAGTCTTTTTTTTTCCCCATTAAGTGAAGTTCATCTGATGACCACTGTCCTCACTTCTTCATGTTTGTATACTTTTCTGACCCCAATTTTCACCCCTTCCTCCTTGTTACACTGATGTATTCTTCCTTTTACCTTCCTTTCCCTTTCTCCTCTTGGAATCCTCAAAACAGAATCAATCCACTCCCAGGATGAGTTTTTGTCTCTTAACTCTCTTGATCTGCTTTGAAGACATTGATGTTCTGAAGGGATGCTTATTTCCATTCCCCCTGTCGTCATATAAATCTTTCCAAATGCTTAACTAAATTTCCTTTCTAGGTTTCTTTGGATTTGGTTTTTATTTCAAAGTTCTTATTCAGTTCCAGTCTTCTAGTCTTTTCATCAGAAATGCTTAAAAAGTCCTCTTCCGTTAAAGGGGGGGGCGGGGTTTGGTTTTGGTTTTTAGTTTTTATTGCTGTGTAGGATACTCAGTGTTATAGAATAGGTTCTTCTTGGTCATGAGCCTATTGTTTTTTGGAAAATCATATTCCAGGATTTCTCACTTTATAGTAGAAGCTGCTTGATTCTGTGTGAATCCAAACTGTGGTTCCTTGGTAGTTAAACGGCTTTCTGGATACCTGCAGTATTTTTTCCCAAACCCTTTGCCTTGTGTCCTCCAGTAATTTGAAATCACATCTTCTTATACATGTGCAGTGTAACATATAGCACCACAGGGCTTACCTTGAGAGAATTACCCCACCTGCAATAGGTAGAGATGTTGCAGATGAATTAAAACTAACATGCATTTTAAGCTGGAGACTGCTGAAGTAGCAGATCTCTAGGACCCCAGGACCACACATGGAGACATCATCTTTCCCAGTGCCCGTGTA